AAAGGAAATTTTTTAATGAAATTTTTGGAATGTTTGCCTTANAGTACTTCTAAAGAAAAGTGAAAATATTTTTGAACTTCAATTTTTTTTTCAATTTTTTTTTGACATTTACGAAAGAAAGACTTCTAAAGAAGAAAAAGAATATATTTTTTTGTTTTTGATTCTTTTTTCTGATTTTTTTTCTTGAATTTTGGAAAAATACTTCAAAACAAAGGAAACCTGTATTTTGGATTTTGATTTTGATTGATTTTCTTTTTATTTCTTTTTTTAGTATGAAAGACTTCAGAATGATGTTTTTCTTTTTTGACGTTTAAAAATATATATACTATATATGATTATTTAATATATTATAAGGCGATACTAATATAATCAATATATTTAAGTTTGATTTTTCTAAGGAAATGCTTCTAAAGAAGGAATTAAAAGAATTATTTTTTTAAAAGATTGGGGCCGGAACCGATGAGGATTGCCTATGTATCTCACATCCGGTGAGAACCAGACCCGCGTAGTTCGGTCAGTTTTGACGGAACAGGAAAGTATGACTTATTTTGAAATGTCTTTTTCTTTTTCTACTTTTTTTTTCAAAAGTCCGGTAGAGTTTCGGATATTTCAAATACCTACCTCTCACTCTTGTTTTTCTTTGATTTTCTCTTCTTTTTTCCTTTTTTTTTAATTTTCTTTCCCTATTCTAGAAGCGTCAACAAGCAAGCCGAAACAAACAGATGCGCAAGTAGCACATAGAATGCACCAGGATGGTCTTTTTATTTGGGTACACCTGTCCTAGACGGACCTAACCCCTGTGCTGAGTCCCCAAAGTCAAATGCACATGATGCAAACAAGCGTTCCTACAAGGGATCCGGCATGAGGCTATGTTATTCTAGGTTTAAAAACCTGGGTGTATTGTTCTAGACCTGGCTTACCCGAGCGGACAACTCGAGCCGGGGGGGCTACGTACGGGGAACCAAAAGGCCATCCGGCTTTGTAACTGATCCGATCCTCGTTCTAAATTAGGGTATGACACTAACATAAAAGAAGCCACGCCAGCGTGCACTTCCCAGAAGATTAGAACAGAGGGGTTTTACAGCAGTTTATATACAGTTCAAATAATATCAAAGCGATAAAAAGCGGCATTTAGCACATTAGGCCCAAACATGTAATAAAAATCAGACAATAAATAAAAGTCAATTATAAAAGTTATTTTAAGCTCAAATTCTTGAACTCTGAACAAACGTTCTGGGTTATTTTCCCCAGCAGAGTCGCCAGAGCTGTCACACCTCCTTTTTACTCACCCGAGAGGGGATATAAGGGAGTTTTTCCAATTAAAGTGACATTAATCGAAATGGGGTTATTTTATTTATTTTTCAGAATCGCCACTTGGGATATTTATTATGGTATCCCAAGTCACCTGTTTATTTTAAAATCCCAAATCGAGGAAAATCGACTTTATTTAAAAGTCTGCGAAACCAGAAATTCTAGATAAGGAATTCTGTTAACCCGGGAGAAGGTGTTAGGTATTCCCGGGTTCCGTGGTTCGAGCACGGTCACTTAAACTATTAATAATTGGCCTAATTATCTGATTTACTACATGTTTTAAACCTAGTGTATTTTTATCTTTATAACCGCTTTTAATTATTTTAAACTGCTTTTAGGATTTATGGAATTATTTCTTGCAAGTTACAATTGTCGTACACTTGCCGTTTTGGGACACACCGCAAACCATGCTACATGAAATGCACCCGTGATTCGCGATATGTTTACTTTATTAATGGTCAAAGTTGTTATGATTGGGTCGCATGAAATGCACACCCGGATTTGAGAATTAGGTATCATGACTATGCCACGGGAGCCGTACCCATAGTCACGATAATTTATTATAAAGCGCGCCTAAAGCAAACTATGAATGTTCAAAGTATTTTCTACACTAGTTATGAATGTTCAAAGTATCTTTCACACTAGTTGGTGTTAATGTGAGGGTCATGGGTTATGGATTTTATATGTGGATGGCACGCCTCAATTTATTTCAAAAGATTTTACTCAATTAAAGCAAACTACGGATGTTCACGGTTAATTCTTAAACTACTTGGAGATTATTGTGATGTCATAATTATGGAATGACAACTTAAAGAAATCACATGAATTCTTCTCAAACACATATAACCCATTTATCGTTCTTGACAAAGTAAGCCCAAACCATATGCAGCAAATCATATCGGCCCATTTGACTTAATAAGATTCTTGAGAGCTTTCTTTTCCAAACTTTTACAAATTAAACTAATGATAAAATAATACATAACTCAAAGATACATGCTCAAAATAGAAACACCGCAGATGCAATGGTATGGACTTAAATTGTAAAGAATTATCTAGACGATCAATTAGCTAATTAACACAATAAACAAATTCATGCTAACACGATGAACCAACTGAACTTTACTCAAAACTAATGGGAACAAAATGAAAGAATTAATTAAAGGGAGAAGGGGACCTTTTATAGCTTTCAATTTATCACAAAGCTTTCTGCTGGTTTACAAGGTGACGGAAGAACATGCCGACGAAATTGAATGGAACGGTTCATCAACAAGACCACGCCGGCAACCTCGAATGAGCTCCACTGACTCGGCTTAATTTGGACAGTGGCTTCGCGTGTTGAAGATTAGAAGAAGGAGCGGCATTGATTGGCTCCAGTTTGAAGAAGAGAAGCAACGAAACAGGGGAAGGATTTTGTTTTCCTTTTCGAAATCTAATTTCTCGTTTTTCTGTTTCTCACTTACCTTGTGTCATTTTTGTTTCTTTTTTTTTTGTGTGTGTCTCCCTTTTTGATTTTGAAAGAAGGAAGATCCAAAGGATCTCCAAGGGAGAAAAGGCTGTTGTTTTTTATTTGATTTCCACGGCAGAAGCTCTAGGTTTGGCAGCTGTTGTATCTTTTCTCTCTCTCTCTCCAAAATTAGGTCTAATGTGTCTATCTATGGGAAGGGGTCTAGGGTTATGGATGGGGTAATGGGCTAAGTGATGTTTTAAGCGTCAACACCACACAAGAGAGGGGGGGGGGAGGTGATTTGTGTGGCATCCAATTTTCGCTCTAGAAGAACCTGGTTCTTCTAAGTGTACTAACTACTGCTGTTTGCGGAATAATAAATACAGAAAATAAAGAACACAGAGATTTTTACGTGGAAAACACCTGGCTCAAAAGGTGAAAAAACCACGACCTACTACTCAGTAGGATTCCCAAACTTCCACTAAAATCACTGAGCCAAAACAGCATTTACAAAACTCTTGTAAACCTAAGCATTAAACTCTAATCCCGTTGTGGCACACAACCTCAACTGTTGCGACAACTTCAAGTTAACTCTAACTTGAATACTCAAAGTACCTAATACAATTGCTTCTATGAAAGCTGAAAGGTACAAGTTTAAATCACCTACTACAATTGAACTAAAATAAAAGAAAGACACAATGGAATTGGTTCTTCTATCTTGTCCAAGTAGCTTCAGGAATGCACACTTGAATCTCACATAAATTGCTTGCAAAATTGCCTCGCTCTTTTGCTCTCAATTTAGTTTAACTTCTGCATTTGTGCAATACCTGTAAAAGAGAACAATCACTGTTATTTAATGAGTTAGTAATTAGAGTTTGATTGAGACTCAATTGCTGATCTTCCATCGAAGTTGAGTCCTTGAACAACACAAACTCCAACCCTATCTTTTATCCGGATTGTATTCTCTTCTCATAAGGAGACTTTCTCTCCTTATCCCATATGCAACATTTTCAATCAGTTCAGGAGATATTGCTGCTTTATCAATGAACTTATCTCCTTCACGTGCATCTCACTTGTATAGGTTGACAAACACTGTGCTTCACATGATGGACCTGGTCCATGACTGAGTTCATTTGTCATTCTTCAAAACTTCACCTGTTCTTGGGCCAACAAATTCCCCCTTTTTGATGATGACAAACTCTGTGCTTTTTACTGATCAAAGAACCTGTAAGAACTCAGCTTAACCATCAACACTTAGCTTAGATATTTTACTTATCATCAAGGACCAGGTTAATTAGGTTATAAATATCACTTAATCAGAATAATGAGTAAAGCACAATATCATCTCTTCCCCCTTTTGGCATCATCGAAAAGTTGCATACACAGTGTGAAACCCAGACTTTAATAAGTACTCATGGCCACTGGGGCAACTGCAAGTGAAATCATTGTGCAATTATCAATAATCAACAAACATATTTAAACTATTAAGATCAGAATCATCATTGAACAAGAGAAAACAGCAGTTGTCATTGATAAAGATATGGTTCCACAAACAGTCCACAAAAAGAAAGAAAAACTTCCAAAACATGAGCAAAAGAAAACAGAAACATCCCTAATCCGGGTCACTGGGGTTCACTGGGGGTACTAGACTGGTTCTAAAGACAAGTGCTGGAAGAACTAGAGCTTGGAGGAACTAGAGGGTTGAGATTGGAGAAGGTTTAGCATATTCTGAAGCATTCCATCACTCTTCTCCTTTTCTTTTGCTAGCTCAGTTCTAAGGCCATCTCTCTCATTCTCCAATTCAGCCACGCGTGCCTTGAGCCTAGCAATTTCATCATCCTTAGTTCCACACTCCTGAACCAAGGCCCTAACCTTGCTGTTGATGGGTGTCCTCAGAGATGAACCAGGTTCAACTGGGATGGCATTGACAGGATAGTCACAAGCCAGTAGGGTCTTAACACCAAAATGCTCCTTGCTTGATGCCATTTCCCATTTCTTCAAAGGCACATTCAGCCTGTCCAGCACAGTAGTCAGTATGAACCCATATGGAGTGGCATGAGCGTTGGAGCCATTAATGACCCTGTCTAGTAATTTGACAATGAAAGCAGGCCGGTTGATCTGTATTCCTCTCTCCAAGCACTCCATAAGAACCAGGTCCATGTAATTTGCAGTGTGCCTTCTCTCCTGTCTGGGCAGCAGGCACTTGTTGACAAATTCAAACAAGACCTTGTGTTCAGGTCTCATTTCACTTTCTGCACAAATCTGGCTTCAGGCACTTCTCTAGAGTCACAGAATCTCCTAGTGATTTCAAGAGCAGTAGGGAGAGACTCCAGACATGGCCACCTTTGCCTTGTATAATCATCATACCCTTCAGTAGGTATGTCCAGGATCTCACAAAGTTTGACTGCATCAAACTTCACTCTTTCTCCTCTCACCAGGCTGGTGACTACTCCATCTTTTACAGCAGCATTGGCCATAAACTCAATCAATTCATTCCTGGCCAGCCTCCCATCCATTTCAAGGACCATGTCCTTCCAACCTTGTGCAGCTAAAGCATCCACCAGTCTTCTCATCCCTGGTTCTTCCTGGTCTTTCAACAGTCTTCCTTTCAGAATTTTTCTCCTGCCAAAGATGGCAAATTTATCCAGCTCCTTCCCAGATTCCTCTTCTTCTTCTTCACCACTCCACTCTTCATCTTCTTCAACAATTTTCTTTTGCTTACCTTTCACAGCAGACCTTGTCCTCTTGGCTAATAAGGGTTCACCAGACACAGGTTCACAGGAAGACTTCTTGGTAGAAGTCTTGGACCTTTTAGGTTTTGGTAAAGGAATCTCTACTGTTGTCCCTCTTTCTTGATGAACCAGTTCCATCTCCTCTTCTTCAGTAGCCTCAGAGGACTCTGCAACCTTTTTCTTTCCCTTCTCCTTTTTCTTTTTCTTGCTTTCTTCCAGAGCTGTTTGTAGGTCAGCTTTACTTTGTCGAAACCTGCTTCTTGTAGCTCGTCCATTAGGTACTGAAGGGGCAGTAGATTTAGGGGGTGAGGTTTTTCTTTTCTTGGCTGGCTTGAGAACAGTTGGGGCCTTTTGTGAGATAGACTTGCGTTTCTTTGGGTCATAACTTGCCCAACCCTTTTCAGGATATCAGCCAGAGTTTCCTTAGCAGATGAACCAGGTTCATCTCTTTGTTTGCTCAAATGAACCAGCCCTTCAGCTGCTTCCCCAGAACCACTTCCCCCTGACTTGAAGCCATTTTCTTCTTTAACTCCACATATAGCAAGAACTTCTCCCTTTCCTTTTCCCCTCTCTTCACCACTTCCTCCCTCTCTCTCTTTTCCTTTCTTTTTACCTCCACTCATACTCGATTCAGCCAATAATACATCTTTAACAGGTCCAATTAGACAAACCTGTTTTCTACGTTTTTAACTTCAGAAGAACCTACCTCGGGAATTTCTTGAATTATCTCAGTGTCAGAAGACTCATGTTCTTCACCTTCACTAGCAGAAATAAATGATTTAGAGTCAGAACTGGAATCAGACTCTTTAGCTGGGGATTCCCTTTTCTGGATAGCTTTCAACCTCTCATTTAAAACTTTACTCAGAGCTCCAGATGCTACAGTTTTTCTAGCCAACATTTTCTGCCTTCGAAGCCTAGGTTTTGGGGATTCACTAGGAGGAGTAGAAGAGGATGTATTTGAGGGTGATGGTGGTGGAGGAGTGCCAGGATGATCTTGTGGGTTAGACATGGTTCTTCGTTTATGGAGGAGTTTTGGGAATTTCTGAGAAGAAAAGCGATTTGGGATTCTTGGAGAAGAGGAGCAATTAAAACAGGAGATATAATTTTTGACGATTTTAGAATGAAGAAGAGAGTAAGAGATGTGGTGTATATTTAAAGACAATTAGTCATTAATGTAGTAATGACAGCTTTTTCAGAGGTCAATTAGAAGTCTAATCAGCCTGGAATTCCAGTCCCTTAATGATTATTTTGGCTTCCCTAGATATTAGGCAAAAATCACGGTTTTTAGAGTTCTAAAAGAACGAAACTGGTTCAATGCCTCAACGGATAGAATTTTCTAGGAATTTGACAAGTATAGGACTTCTGCTCATGATTGAATTGTTAATCTTTCTAATTATGCAAAGCATTGAAAACATACCTGAACTTTCATATGAGCTCATACTGATGAACCAGGTTCTTCATATAGAACTCTCTTGAACATGCCTCAAATGCCATAATAGAAAAAACTTTGTAAGAGATCAGTGAATCATATAACATGTCACAGGAGTATACTAATTAAAGTATGAAACTGAGTAAGAATTAATCTAGATATTTACACACAGTTAGAACTCCTAACCAAAATTTTTTTATTTTTTTTTCATTGTGCATTCTGAACTGGACCTATTAGGTGATCTTAATCATCCCTAATTCCAACCTACCCCACTCAAAGTTTTCTCTACTCAATGCTTTAGTGAAAATGTCAGCAATTTGCTTATCAGTAGCACAGAATTCTATGGAGATCAGTCCTTTCTCATAGTTATCTCTTAAGAAGTGGTGTCTAACATCTATGTGCTTAGTCCTTTTATGATGAACAGGGTTCTTTGTCATACTTATAGCACAAGTGTTGTCACAGAATATTGGAATACAACCAACTTCAATACCAAAATCTACCAGCTGTTGTTTGATCCATAGCAATTGAGCACAACAAGAGGCAGCAACAACATACTCAGCTTCAGCAGTAGATAAGGCCACTGAGTTTTACTTTTTGGTAGCCCATGACACAAGACATGAACCAAGAAAGTGTGTCATACCTGAGGTGCTCTTCCTATCCACCAGAAAACCTGCATAATCAGCATCAGCATATCCTACTAGATTAAAATTGCTACCTTTGGGATACCAAAGACACAGAGCAGTGGTTCCTTTCAAGTATCTTAGTATCCTTTTGACAGCAGTCAGGTGAGACTCTTTAGGATTTGCCTGAAAGCGAGCACAAAGCCCTACACTGAAAACAATGTCAGGTCTGCTAGCAGTAAGATACAGAAGTGAACCAATCATACCCCTGTACAACTTTTGATCAACTGATGAACCAGGTTCATTAATATCTAATTTAGTAGCAGTTGAAATAGGTGTGTTTATTTCTTTAGATTCTTCCATTTTAAACTTTTTGATTAGCCCCTTTGCATACTTCTGCTGTGGATCATGGTTCCATTTGAACTTTGTTTGATCTGTAAGCCTAAGAAGAAATTAAGCTCACCCATCATGCTCATTTCAAACTCACTCCACATTAATTTTGCAAAGTCCTTACTCAGCTTATCAGTGGTGGCCCCAAAGATTATGTCATCGACATATATTTGTACAACAAGGAGATCCTTACCTTTTTCCCTTAAGAATAAGGTACTATCAATTTTACCTCTTTTGTACCCATGCTCCAGCAAAAATTTGGACAATCTTTCATACCATGCTCTTGGGGCCTGCTTGAGTCCATAGAGAGCCTTGTCTAACTTCTACACATGCTCAGGGCATTCCTTGCTTTCAAATCCTGGAGGTTGTTTCACAAACACTTCTTCTTTCAGGTAGCCATTCAGGAAGGCACTTTTGACATCCATTTGATGAAGAGTGAATTCCATGTGTGCTGCAAAGGCTATGAGGAGTTTGATCGCTTCTAGTCTTGCAACTGGTGCAAATGTCCTATCGTAGTCTATGCCCTCCTCCTGGCTGTAACCTTGGACCACCAATCTTGCCTTGTTTCTTGTAACAGTTCCATCTTCATCAAGTTTGTTCCTAAAGACCCATTTTGTACCAATAACTGATCTGACTTTGGGCCTTGGAACTAGATGCCAAACTTGACTTCTTTCAAATTGATTAAGTTCATCTTGCATTGCATTGACCCAATATGCATCCTGCAAAGCCTCAACAACATTTTTAGGTTCAATAAGAGATAAAAATGCATTAAAAGCACACAGATTCTTTAATTGTGATCTAGTTTTGACTCCAGATGTTGGATCAGTGATAATGTTCTCAATGGGATGAGAACTTTAACACTTGTGAGGTTTCACAACCAACTGGTTTCTACTAGATGATTCTCCCATGTTCTGTTGCTGAGGAACAAGGTCATGAACAAGTTCCTTTAAGGGATTTATTTCAATTACTCTTTGATTAGTTCTCCCTGTCAGGTTGCCCTGGATGGAAGAACCTGTTCCTTCAGTTGGTGCCACTTTGACTTGTGCTGACGCTTCAGTCAAGTCCTTTACCAATCCAATGGCTTCATCTTCATGTTCCTGCCTCTCAGAAAGAATGTTAGTTTCATCAAATACTACATTTACACTTTCTTCTACACAAAAAGTTCTTTTATTAAACACTTTATATGCTTTGCTATGTGAAGAATATTCCAAGAATACTCCCTCATCACTTCTTGGATCAAACTTACCTAGGGAGTCTTTTCCATTATTGTGCACATAGCACTTACAACCAAATGCCCTAAGATGGGATATGTTTGGTTTTCTCCCTTTAAGTAACTCATAGGGAGTCTTCTCTACAAGAGGTCTAGTCATGCATCTATTGATTATGTAGCATGCAGTGTTTACAGCCTCTGCCCAAAAGCTGTGAGGCAGTTTGCTAGAAAGCAGCATGGTCCTAGCCATGTCCTCAAGAGTCCTATTCTTTCTTTCAACTACTCCATTTTGTTAAGGAGTCCTAGGGGCAGAGAAATTATGATCTATACCATTTTCATCACAGAATTCAGCAAACTTGGAGTTTTCAAATTCAGTTCCATGATCAGACCTAATGGATGCAAGTTGATTTCCTAATTGTTTTTGAGTTTTTCTAACAAATGCAGTAAACATGTCAAATGCTTCATCTTTGGAAGTTAGAAATAGAACCCAGGTAAATCTAGAATAGTCATCAACAAGCACCATTACATATTTCTTTCCACCTCTGCTCATGGTTCTCATTGGACCACAGAGATCCATATGGACCAGTTCCAACGACTTGGTTGTGCTTACCATTTTCTTGCTCTTGAACGATGATCTTACCTGCTTCCCCCTTGCCCATGACTCACAAACTTTGTCTTCCTTGAACTTGATGTTGGGTAAACCTATCACCAAGTCCTTAGAGACTACATTATTTAGCTGATTCAGACTGGCATGACCAAGTCGTTTGTGCCACAGGAGGGGATCATTAACCAACACACTTAGGCAAGTGATTCCATTTTCTGAGAGAGTGGAAAAATCTACAATGTAAATATTGTTAACTCTCTTTCCCTGCAAAACAATCTTGTCAGTGGTAAGATTTATCACAAAGCATTTAGTAGAGGTGAATGCTACCAGGTTACTTCTGTCACACAGTTGTGACACAGTAATCAGGCTATATTTCAAGCCATCTATCAAGTAGACATTCTCAATGGAGTGAGAGTATGTCTTTCCTACCTTTCCAACCCCAATGATCTCACCTTTCTTTCCATTACCAAAGGAGACATTACTACCTTTTAAGTCCTCAAGTGAAAGGAACTGGTCCTTGTTCCCAGTCATATGTTTTGAGCAGCCACTATCCATATACCATATTTGGCTGCTTCCTTTCACTTGGACCTGCAAAAAGAAATCAGGGGTTAGTCTTAGGAACCCAAACCAGTTTGGGTCCCTTTCTATAGGCAAAAGGATGAATCAAATTCTTTCTTGCCCACCCAGGCAGCTTATTTTTTTCTTGAACAAAGGCTTTGTTCTTTTGACTGGCCTTTACTTTTGCATTCATTTTTGTAATGACCAGTCTTGCCACAGTGTGTGCATATTTTATTCTCAGGAAGTGTGAGGTACTTGCTTTTAGGGTCCCATTTTGGTGCTTGAGTCCCATAGCCAAGTCCTCTTTTATTGCTACAGTGGTGCTCTTGCAACCAAGAAAGTGCATCAGAAGCCTTGTTCCATTTGCAAGTTCTGTCTAGTTCATGTTTCACTTTTCCTAGATCTTCTTTTAGGACTTTAATCAATTCATCTTTCTTATACAACTCATCCTTCATTTTTCCTAAGTTTTCCTCTAAAGTGAGATATGTGTGATCAGCTTTCTTCTTTCCTGTTCCTAGTTTCAATTTTAAGTTTTCAGACCTAAGTTCTAGGACACTAGTGTCAAGTTGAAGAACCTGGTTCTTTAACTCAGCATTTTTGCTATCACTCTCATTAGCCCTAGACTCTAGACTTTTGCATTTTGCTTTTAGGATCACACATTCTCTAGATAGATCTTCCTTCTCATTGTTAATTATCTCAGACATATCAATGAAGTCTATTAATAGCTCGGCCAGCCTTTCTTTTAGACAGAAATTTAATCTTGTCTTTGAGATGAAGAATACTTACCTCTTGTTCATCATCTGATTCTCTGATGGCCATAAGAGCCTGTTCATCTCCAGCTTCATCCTCTGAGTCCTCATTTGATGTTTCTCCCCAGGCTGCAACCATAGCATTTGTTGATCCTTTGTTCCTCTTTGGTTGAACATGTTCCTTCGTTCAGCCCTTTCTTTCTTGCACTCAATTTCCCATTGAGGACAGTTCTTGATCATGTGATCAGTCTTACCACACTTGTAGCAACCCTCACTGGTTTG